ACTGTAATGTGAAAAAATAATATTAACATTCTATTGTATATTATGCACATCATGATAGTATTTGTTGTATTGCCATTAATTTATACAGGTTTAAATGTAAAAAGACATTGTATTAATAGAACGAGAATTTAGTGAGAATCAGAATAGATATGAAAATCTATACATTACACATGAAAACATATAAGATGAACTATAACAATGACAATTTGAGAAGAAAATGTGCGTAATTACCATTAAAATAAATACAAATCATTTTTACATTTTAATTAACAAATTTAAAAAATAAGAAAATTAAGAAAACAGAAAAATATGTCCAGAAGAACTACAATAATGATCTTTTGAGATGAAAATGTGCTTAATTATCATGAAAATAATCAATGAATGTTTACTTTTTAAAGGTGATCTGGATGTGTTTTGGTGAGATTCACTCCGCCTGATGACAGACAGCGAGCTGCTGTTGAATCAGTCATACATAGATATAGATATATATATATATATGGAAATAGATCTAATTCTACATAAGAATAACTCTAGTAGTTTCAGATGAATATATAAGCTGTGTGTGGATATGAAATGATCTATATTTTGTAAGCATGCTGTTAGGAGTGTTTGTCAGAGGCCTTCAGTGTTTCCACCATCTCTGTTACCATGACGACCCACTGAGTGTCAGCAATAGAGAGAGTGTGTGTGTGTGACGCCGATGTGAAGCTGTAATTCAGACGTTTAAAGACTAAACGCTTTACTCCAACGACACCATCAGCCGCCTGTCCTGTAATCTCTGTTTGCACAGTCAGCGCTGTGTGTGTGTGTGTGTGTGTGTGTGTGTGTGTGTGTTTTATGAAGGTATAGTGTAACTATGGCACTTACAGGCTATAAACTTCCTGCCCCAAAGCAGTAAAATCATAGAATTCATCGTTCTGTTTTATTTAATCCAACCAAACCGAACCTGCTTCAGATAAGGGTGAGCTTTAGGAAACGACTGGCCTTCTGTTTGCACCAACGGCCTGTTGATTTAATTTCCCAGGGAATCATGATAACTTTAATAATGTATATCGTATACATATATATGATCGAAGATGACAAGAAATGACAAGGTTTTATAATGCAGTTGGAATATTAGCTTTCTTATTTAATATAAATAAAATTATAGAGAAATAGAGAGAATGATATATTATAATAATATAATATTAATAGGAAATACACCGCGTGCATAATTATTAGGCACGTTGATATTCTGATGATATTTTTTCCAAGCACATTTGACCAATTCCAAACCACATCAGTCTTAATGACTGTGTAATAACTTCATAGTGTGTGTATATATATATACTGTATATTATTTTAATAATCTAATTTTTTTATTTTAAATTATATATATATATATATATATATATATATATATATATACATATACACACACACACACACATACAATTTATTATTATTACAAATTTAAAAAATATTAAAATCAAAAACTTTATATACTCACGTTTTATTTTATACTGTATATACATTACATTACAGAAAATTTCACATTTTTTAACCAAAACCTTGATATATAAAATGTTCATAGGCATATTTTTTCATCAGATACCCAATTTATTCAAAAAAGATGCAAAAGAAATGCAAAAGATTAAATCACCGGTTGTATTTGGGTGTGTCTGGAACAGCTTACTAACATAATACTGTAGTATTAAGATCGTTCTCATGGCATTTACTGTTTCATTATAGACATTTATATCAAAAACTACAATTAGAAATAAATACAGGTTAAAATCTATGAAAAATATTGCATGTTCATTTGCACAATATCACAATCTGGAGGAATAATTAAGGAATTATAACCTTTTTCCTCAAAAAATAAAAAGAAAAAAATTTGTTTTCAGTTTTCTAAGAGTGAAGCTGATAAATTAAGAAATGTAAAATTAAGTGTAAAATATTTTTGCATTTCAAAAATCTTAGAGCAAATCCTTCCAGATATTTTTTATTTTTTTTAGATGTCGATTTGGTCTAGATTTTAAAAATTGCTCTTTTTGTGATGAACAGATTGAAACAGCTACATTTATATTTCATGTTCATTTATTTTTTATTATTTGAATTTTAATTTGCTTGCATGTGACTTTTGGGAGGATTTGCATTACTGGGTATTTCCTAAATTTGACAATTTCACTGAACAAGAAAAAAAAAAGTTATTTATTTATTTATTTGTTTGCTTATTTATTTACATAAGAATGAATTCTTAAAACCTTTAACACATTTCTAGTGATTTCATAAGGAACTCTGATTAATTTCAGTGCTAAGAAATAATGAAGAATACCTTGAATTTCTGCAAATGAATAGGCAAGGCAAGTTCATACACAATGGTAATTCAAAGTGCTTTACATAAAAGGAAGTAAAATAATCATAAAAAAATAATCACAACAATAAAACAATGAATTTATAAACTTTTATAATGATTTAAAATTTGATTTAAAATGAATTTAAAACAGTTAAGAATAGAAAATGATTATACATAAAATATAGTGCAATCCGTTCGGACATCGCACAGTGCTCATTCAATAAATGCACAGCTAAACAGATGAGTTTTGAGTCTGCATTTAAATGCGACTAATGTTTTAGCACATCTGATCTCTTCTGGAAGCTGATTCCAACTGCGGGCGGCATAATAACTAAAAGCAG